GTTAATACAATATTACAGTACGTTTTAATTTACATAGTCTTTGGTTATTTTTTTTAATTAGTATGAGCTATACGATTGTATACAAATGCGTGTGGTACATATTTGCTGGATAAAGAACAGCACCAACTATTGATTGTGATAATTGATGAATGAATACAGTAATATATATTGTGAAAATATCTACTTCTTGAAAAGTATTTAGTTAATTCGAACGCTCTCATTTCTACTTATATGTAAGGTTTACGCCGTGCGTTTTCTTAACGCAGATTTGTTCAGTGACATTTACTTCGTGCAAAGTGCACGCAACTTGGTAACGCTGGTGGTCAATCCAAGTCTTGAAGGATTGTTCCCTCTGAGAGAACGAAATAGAAATAACCCAACCATATGTCCTTTGACAGCAAATGTATTAGTTGTTACCGAATCGATAGCCCACTTGGCCGCCCAATAACTGTAAGCACCGATGGAGCACCGAAAAACGTTCACCAGCAATATAGACGCGCTGGTAAACCAACAGAGAGGCTGAAACACAAAAAGTCCAAATTATGAGACCGCAAAAAATGTTAATAATGGGGTAAGAGCCCATTGTAAAAGAGCAAATTTAATCCTCTGGATGAGGATATTTGAGTGGTCATGAAATCTACCATGCCCAAATAATTTGACGAAGCGTTGCAGTTGCTTTTCCAGGCTCGAGGGCAGAGCTTAAGAATTGGCACAAACAAGCAGTCTTTGCAAAAACGGCATTTTCAACATCGATACATGTGTCCGGTATTCGTTCGCCTGACCAGGCGTGCCGGGAGCGCTAAAGACCCTATTCACCCATCAAAAGAAGCGGAGCTATCGGACTATATCCAGGAGCTAGCAAATTTTGTCGCCGCGACGGGACAAATCTAATGGCAGTAACAATAATTATTTTTACGATGGCCTTTGTACAGGTGTGACTTGCACCAATCTATCACGTCCATCGTATTTCATCCAAGGAAGCTGCAACGCATAGCACTTTGCACAGAAGAAACTTGTACTCTGTTATCAAACGCACACACAGGGTGAGTTTGCGAACTCCTACCAGGATTGGAACTAAGAGAAACCAAATGATTTGACCTTCGTCAAATATTTCCGTATCGTATCTAATACAACTGTAAAAATGTGTTCGGCTTTAGTTGCCGTACTTGGCCTGTTAAATCATCCTCCTTGAGATGCAGATCACGTTGGGACGCACATCTATTCAATTTTTGAAAATACTACGTAAAAGTAACTGCTAGGTACGCAATTTAATGCGTCTGAGGTTCCACTTCACTTTTTGCACTTGTGTACTTGTGCTGTTGTGCCGGAATATTGCTACCGTGAGCTACATAAAATGGTTTGAGAAGCCCTTGACAAAATCTTCGTCTTCACGACCGACGGATGCTGAGATACCGTACGATGAGACAGGTCGTAGTGACTCTCCGAGTCTCGATTAAAAACGTCTGCAATTATCAGGCAATTCACAGCCTGTATTTTTCCTTAGAGCTTGGGCTTCATGACCTATTTCTTCGGTAGGAAATGCTTCAACACCCCGCCGCAGGAATCGCGGTGGTGAGCAGCTCGTTATCAAGTAGCCGGACCGAGCACAATCCTAGCATGCATTACTGCAAGTGCGAGACCCTCGCCAACTCACACCTAAATCATCACGTAGTGATGCCCATCTGAAGTCGCCCGCCGCGCTAGTACAAAGCTCCTAGATGCCGATGCGAGCAGACATCCTGCTCGTCATCAGAGCAAAATGAGCACGAAACGTTGCTCCGCAAGCGCCTTTGCAGCCCACAGTTCATCACTTCTTGTAACGATAAATTCCCGTCCGTGTACACACACGTTCCGAGGAAGACTTGGTCAACCGACACGCCTCACCCCGTGATGATCGCTTCCAGCGGGCCGTTGACTTACGTAGAGAAGAGGAAATGTGAAGTGACAATTATTATCATGGCCAATCAGCATTTAAGCTCCCTATCCTGATAAGTGTTTTCAGCTCTGATACAACAGAACTGAAGAGGAATATAGAGCTATACAGGGTGTACAGTCAATGACATACACATACCATGTGGTCCACACATAAGTTGTAATTGGACCACATCTAAGGAGCACCATCTACGTTCGAAGCAGCAGCGGTTAAGAAACCCCGTACCTCTAGAGCGATGCACTCCGGTACTAGCAGCTGGCGAGAGTGCCAATGAATACTCAATTCGCGTGCTGGGTGAATAAAACGCGCCGTCTCACCCGTCTAAGAATATTCCGATTTCCCTTCAGCAAAGCAGACATTCACCGAAAGCTTTGCATCATGCAAGACTTTGCAAAGCTTAAAGCACGGCACGAACATCGAGGCGACAACCGATCACCTAAAGTTTCAGCTGTTTACAGCCGCTCTCATTGCCATGAGACAGCTTGAAAAGCATCTGAACAAAGGTTGCGTTTATCACAAGGTTGATTGCCTCCCACTACTAAAAATCGCGCCGCAACGACTGACCCTGCCTCTTTCCGAGGTAAATAAAGCCGTAAGGCGTGCCAGCTTGCTAGTGACCAGAGAACCAGGGCAATCTTGTCGATATGGAGTCCCAAATTCTAGCGCATATCAGGCTATAGTAGACCAGTTCAGCTCACAAGGTACTGCTAACAACTTAAATGTACTTGTCGGTCCACCAAATGTGATACAGTGGGTCGTCGCTTGTTTATCAACAGCGCCAGCAGATACCAAAACTACAGTGGCTAGATCTCGTGAAAAACTGATTTGTGACGGCACGTCATTTTTTCCCCAAAAAACACTGCGTGTATCCGATGCTGATATTAGATAGAGACTTTTTAATTTACTCGCTTATAACTTTACCAATGCACGGCCTAATTCCAACCACCCCAACCATACTGCTGCTTAGAGGCAGGATGTAGTCTAGCTACTCAAAAAGGTAGAGACTTTGCAATGTCAACAATGCTCTTCACGTCCGACCTCCAGCAAGCCCGTATAGATCACAAGATGTGTTGCATTCGCTTTGGGACACCCAGGGTATAACTTAATCCCTTTCTCGCTACGACCGAGAATGATGTGATATAGCACGATTGCAACTTGGTCTTTAGGACCGCAGTTACCGCATGTTTAGGAGAGTTGATTTCATATCATAATGCTCTTGCCAAATAATCGGTTGTATTTCGCCTGCCTTTGGCACCGGCATTCTGCTTTTGTTTGTCTGAGCCCTCAGCCATGGCGTGGCGCGCCCTGTGCATAACACTGAATCATCAAAATCACTGTTTTGCTAAGAAAAACAGCCGAGCTGATACAAGCAACTCAAATTTGATCGACAACAACCCCTCCACTAAGATCGCTGCTACTTAATGGCTGTGTCAAAGGTGTCTGGGGTCTAGCAAATCATCAATGTAAAGTGGGGTAGTTTGTAGAGCATTTGCTGCGTTATTTAATGAGTAGGGAACCTCGCACTAGCATCGAGGTCTCTCCGCGCAAATGCTTTGGATGGTATCCTTCACAGTGCAAAGTACGCTTTCTGATTGACCTTCACTTTACATATCCATTCTGGCGATGAAACCCTTGGATAAAGTTTGCTAAAAGTTTACAATATTTCACGCATCTCGAACCGATACGATGGCATGTTGATTAAGCACTTTGTCGATGGACGGTTTAGCTGTAGCCTAATCTGTCACACTATTGCTAACAGCAGCGAGATAAGCCATCTTGCGTAGAGGGTGGACAAAAACTCACAAAACCAGAATTCTTTTAAAAGGCCAATAGATTCATACTGATGAACCGCCAGCCCTGCCACCATTGGTTGTCTGGCCAGAGTGCCGCCGCGACGGCGAGAGTTTTACCAGCTGATACATTCGGCATGTGAGCACATATGTGCTTACCCGCTCCTACTTGATAATAACTATTTTCTCCCGAGGTGGTCACCCAAAGGGAGATGATGTGTCACGCACGGTTATCTGTAAACTTTTTATCGAGAGCCGCCGCAATACGTAGTATCATGTCATGTGGGTCAAGGATGAGGCATAGCAATGCATGTATCCAGTCGCACTTCGATAAGTTGACTTCTAAGCTCTCAAATCCCTTCCATTCCAAAGCTTTCATCAGCGCAAAACCTGTTGAGTCTGGCTCATATGACATACATATCGCCGTAACAATTGGTGACGTTACATCACTACATACGCTAATCCATGTTGGGGCGACGCAAAAGTGCCTCCACCACCGACCCGTCCTATGTCTTACCTTGAATGTATACTCTGGAAAGAAGG